TAACTAAAGTTAAGGTTGTGAATATACACCTATGAATTCTTGACACAAAGTAAGCCCTCAATAGATGCTAACTCTTATTAGTCTTTTTCTCTAGGTTGAGGCATAGGACTTTGTCTTATATTCCCCTCTCCACACACAAACATACACACATATACTGCCACCTTATAGACTGAAGTTTGGTACAAGGTAAACCTGGGAGGCTGTGTATTAGCCTTTTCATTCATTCGTGCAACAAGTATTCATTATATATATATATATTTTTTTTTTTTTTTTGAGGTGGAGTCTTGCTCTGTTGCCCAGGCTGGAGTGCAGTGGCACATTCTCAGCTCACTGCAACCTCCACCTCCCAGGTTCAAGCGAGTCTCCTGACTCAGCCTCCTGAGTAGCTGGGATTACAGGTGCGCCAGCACGCCTGGCTAATTTTTGTATTTTCACTAGAGACGGGGTTTCTCCATGTTGGCCAGGATGGTCTCAAACTCCTGACTTCAATGATCCGCCTGCCTCGGCCTCCCAAAGTGCAACAAGTATTCATTATTGCCCACGCCGTGAGGGAGGCAAGCACAATGAGATGGAAAACAACCCGTATCTCCATCATTAGGAAGTCAGATAATTCCAAGTGCCAGGGTCCAGGTGGGGAAAGTGGTCCCTCGTGCCCTGCTGCTGGTCATGTAGACTGAGGCAGCCATCACAGAGTGCAGTAACTGTGTGTTTTCTCTCCACCCAGGGATCCTGCCCCCAAGGGATATCCCAGAGAAATACACACAGGAGTCTATGAGAGTCACACACTGCAAGTCCCTCACAGCTTTGCTTGGGGAGGTGGGAACTGGAGCTAGCCAGCATCCATCACGAAAGCGGTGGGAAAAGGAGGCATGGTGGCACACGCACACCGTGCATGCTGAGCAGCAGTGGGAAGCAAGGGACTTGAGCTGGACTCAGCACACAGAGCAGTGTCGAGGAAACAAAATAGCCTATGACACAGATCTATTGAAACTACTATTTATGTACATTAACAACCCCCACACACAAATCAACACCATGCACATTTTATAAAGACACATATATATCCAAAGACATGCATCAGAGATATTCGAGTGGGTGTCCTGTGAGGGGAGGGAAATGGAAATGAGAATCAGGGATGAAGAGAGAAAAGTCAAAATATGGTGTGATGAACACAACAAGACTTTGCAACAAGGTTGGGAAAAAGTGGCAAAGAGGCCTTCACCATCTGCTACTCTGAACACTGGCAGAGGACTAGGCATGTCTGCTCAGACCCAAAGGGACAGCATTCCAGGCAGGAAGGACAGCTGGAGCACAGGCTCAGAGATGAGCACAGCGGGTGCCTCTGAGAAACAAATGCTTTTTGTGGGAGTGAAGGGTGCCCATGGTCAGAGAGGCAGGGGCCAGCCTCTACCCTCTCAGCCTGTGATACCTATCTCCTCTTATCTGGCAGACTCCTACTCAGCCCTCACAGGCCTCTAGGCTCCCTCAGAAGCCATGTGGTTAGGGAAGGAGCAACCACTTTGGAGTCAGAACAATCTGAGCTCCCACATTGGCCCACCGTATGACCTCAGGCAAGTCACTTTCCCCTCTTTGAACCTCTGTTTCTTCATCTGTAAAATGGGAATAATGACAATACTACCTCAGAAGGTTGTGTTGGGAAGGAAGTGAGATAAGCCAAACACACAAAGTCCCTGCCCCATGGAGCTTATACTTTAGTGGAGGGAGATAGGTGGTAGACAAATAAATATGTAACATGTCTACTGCTGTATCCACAGTACCCAGAACTGTGCCTAGCACATAGCAGGTGCTCAGTTAATATTTGTAGAATGAATAAGTGAATGAATGAAAGTCAGTGGTAAATGCTATAAAAAGAAATAAAGCAGGGTAAAGGGAAAGGGAGAGCTGGGGATGCTGGCAGGTGGGAGGAGCCATTACTGTTAGTGCTGGTGGTCAGGGAAGGCCTCCCTGAGATAAGAATAGAGTGAAGATTTGAAGGAAATGAGGGAACAAACTATGAGACTATCAGGGGCCGGGGAGCCAGGAAGAAGTGGGCTCCAGGTTTAGTGGGGAGGCCAGTATGGCTGGAGCAGAGTGAGGGACAGAGAATGGGGGAAGCTGAGGTCCCCTGTGTAGGTGAGCTGAGAATGTGGCAGGAGTCCCCTCTGCACTCCCAGGGACAAGAACTAGAAAAGTCCATGCTGCTCAGCCCTTTCCCAGGCAGTTGGCTGGGGCCAGCCCCTAAAAACAGTAGCACAAACTCCTCGCAGGTATTGAGCACTCCTGTGTGCCAGGCCCCAGCTCTACTGGCACAAACTCATGGAACCATCACCAGCCCTGGGTATGAGTACTATTATTATCTCATTTTCAGAGCAGGCAACTGAGACTCTGGGAAGCAGCTGACCTTGGAACCGGAACTGGGTCTCTCTGATACCAGACCCTGGCTTGCTCCTACCGCATTGTCTTGAAGTCCTTTGTTTACAGCTCGCCTTCCCCTCTCGGCTGCAGAAGGCCTGTCTCAGTCTCATTCATGGTTTTCTTTTACTCCCAGGGTCCCAAGTGTCGAAATCTGCCTAAGGAGCGAATAAATGAATGAGCCTACAAGGCAAGCCCCTCTTCGCCTTCCCGCCCAGTTCACGCCTTGTTTGGCATCTCCAGTTGGAGGTGGAATTGGGAGGGGGCCGGACAGAGGAATTTCAAGCTGCCTGAGGGTCAGGAGCAGAGAGGAGGGGGAGAAGGGGGAGAAAGCGAAAGTGAAGTGAGCTGGGAGCCCCTGTGAGGAGGCGCAGACAGGGAAGGAAATCTCCCGGTAATAATTCATCGGCTCAGGAAGCAGCAGACTGGCCTGGGGCTGTGTGTGGGACCAGCCCTGCGGGGAGGGGGCCCATGCTGGCTGCCTTCCTCCTCCCCAAAGCCCAGCCTGGCTGGGGTCACGGTCAAATGGTGGCAGTGGGGGGATCCAGGTGTGGGAACAGACTCCAGATCCAGGTGTGGGAGCAGACCCTGGATCCTAAGGGGCTCCTCCCCCGGCAGCCACGGGAAACCCCTCGTTCCCTCTTCTTCCCCCAGTTCTGACCTGGATCAGGGAAGCCGGGAAAGCACAGCATGGCAGAGCTGCAGGCATCGTCAGGAAAACAGAAGCCCAGAGGAGCCAAAATGCACCTAGGAGCCTTTCAACTTCACTCCCTGCGCTCTCTCTGCTATACGGGCTGCCATTCGGGCTTATTTTCAAGGCCAAGTGGGATACTGGTTTAGCTAGTGCCTGGAGAGAGCTGAGCAGCCGGCACGAGTGAGATGGAGACCCCAGCAACCACCGTTGGCTCAGCAGTTCTCTGAGGAGGACACATCAGGCTGAACAATCTAAGGTTTCTAGAAGGAAGGCAGGCATTGAGGAAAGATAGCCCGTGTGTGTGCGCGATGGGATGGTGGTGGTAGGATTCCAAGAAGTAGTGAAACCGGACGGGCTGGAGCTAGCGCCCTCACTCCTACCTGCATGACTGAAGGCCAGAGCTCTCTTACCTGTAACTCAGGGCTGCCATCCTGCAGCCTCAGCTGGGCTCAATAGAGTATATAGCACCGCGTCTGGCACACGGTAGTGCCTCAACCAAAACATCAGTTCCGTGAGGGTGAAAAATTTGTTTTGTTAATGGCTGTATCCTCAGACCTAAAACCATGCCTGACACATAGTAGGGATCCAACGAATATTTGTTGAATAAATGAACGAACTACTGGTGTTTGTGTGTTGTGGTTTTGTTTTGCTTTTTTTTTTTTTTTTAAGTTTGTCTTCAGGGACAAGACACCATCGAATCCTCATTTGGAGAGATTATAGCTTTTCTCCAAGTGTTCTCCACTGACACCACCACTATCACCAATGGCTTGTTACAAAAAGCACGTTCCTGGGCACGTTCCAGAACTGCTTAATCAGAATGGGAGCAATCTGGGACTCTGTAATAGCAACAGCCCCGTCCCCAGTTCTTACGCACATGAAAGTTGCAGAACTACAGGATTAGAATTTGAGGGCAGGAAGACACTAGCTGTTTCTCCGCAATCTGAACTTTCCGAATGAGGAAACTGAGTCCAAGAGAGGAGAAAGGGACCTGCCCGCGTCTCCCAGGTGGTCCAGGCTGGGGACAAAAAGTTCGAATCTGGGCCCACCCCGGCCGACTCGCCCAGACCTCCAGCATCTGCCGGGCTAGCCAGCCGGGAATGGGAGCCTTCGGGGTGGGCCACCAGCTCCCGGGCCGCTTTCAACCTGGGGAACGGAGGCGGTGGGCGCGTAGTCATTGGCCAGGG